GTCCATCCTGTACGTTTTCAGTCCTGGGGAGCGTTTGACAGCTTCTCAAAACGCCCACACAGCAGCAATGTCAGTAATATGCCCTCATCATGGCTGCCTCCTTTCTTGTCTTACTCTTCCTGTTCCCTCTTCCACTTCCAGGGATCACCAGCTAAATACACCACCTGCCTCAAGTTCTCTCTCAGGTTCTGCTTTCAGGGCAACCCAAACTAGGGCAGCCTCCTCCAAAGGCCCTGCCCAACCCCGTATTTCTTCCCAAGCCCAGGTCTCCACTTCATCCAAGTAAACCACCGTAACTATTCTTGGCTTTGTTCACTACCCCCTGGTTCCTGTCTCGTGTGTCTGACCACACCTTCAGGAATGCTCTGCTGCTCAATCAGTTACCTACATTCACTGCCTCCTCGGAGCACGAGCCACAGGAAGGGTCCCACGATGCAGCTTCCCTTCTGTGGCCCTTGCTGTGTTCTGCACTCTAGTGACGTGCATGCCATTTACACCGTAGCATTCCTCTGAGTAATTCTGCTTTATGTATTCCATGTACACAAAATCTGGTGGAGAAGAGGTGATTTTTCTCTACTTTTCCTCCTAAAAGTTTCTCTTTTGGCTAGTCGCTGCAATGAACCAAAAAAATAAAAAAAATAAAAAAAAAATCTTCCCTATAGACTTAATAATAAAGGAGCAGAACTTACATTGAATAAAAATAAAGGAGGGATGCACTTCAAAATTTCGGAATCTTCGCCTGTGGGAAAGTGTTTACTTTAGGTTAAGGTTGAAGCACCTTGAGCATGCATTTCGCTAATAGTGGTATCAAAAGCAATTACTCTGATAAACTAATCTCCACTCTGCTTCTCTCCTTGCCCGCCCCCACCCCCCAAGACTCCTCTTATTTTTGTTATCAGCAAGATATCTACCTGGGAGTGGGGGCAATTGCTGATCAAATCCTTTTTAGACAGACACTAAAAATTTGCCTAGTGAATGCTTTCTGCGGCTCCTTGCGTGAGGGTCTACGGAGAGGCAGATCAGGGATGCTGGGCCCCACCCTGGGGCCCCCTGCTGGCTCTCACGTGCCCTTCTCCCTCGCTGGTGCCCGGCACTTCCTCAGCCTGAAGTGAGGGCACTTCCCTCTCCTCTCTGAGTACCTGGTCCAGCCTTTATTCTCCTTGGCCCTCCTCTTGCATGCTGCCCACATCTGTCCCTCCACGTCCCAACCCCTGCCCCTGTTACCTGCAGGACCATTTCCACTGAAAAGAGCCATCATTACCTCACACTCCGCAGAACCTTCAGCAACCCTCCTAATAGCTTATTCCAGTATCTGGGGCTCCAAGCCGCAGCCTGGAAACACACCTCAGCCGTGTAGTTAGCCTCTCCCTCCCTTACTGCACACATTTGGTGCGCAAGTCCTAGGGGTCTTCTTCGGAAACTTCTTACTTCCCTGTCCCTCCCTGCTGCGATCCCCCCTCATCAGTTTGCTGGTTCCGGGGCAATAGGTGTCTGCCATCCCAAGTGTCCAGGGCCATTTCAAGTGCCCTTTGTAGGAGACTGCAGGTTCCATTCCACCATTTTGTGGTGTCCAAGTATTACTGTTTGGTTAATTTGAGCTCTCTCACTTTGGTATTAGATGCCTCTTCACCATCTGGTCCCACCCCCCTTTCTAGGATGCGCCCATGACCTCCTACAGGCAGCTTCCTTTCTGGAAAGCTGGGCCATTCTCTGAACACTGCTTCCCTTAAATGTCCTCCTGGACACACCAGCACCTGCATCTGGTATTTCTAGGCTAGCTCACCTCCACTTCCTCTAAAGAGACTCCTTTGACCATTGCTGTCTCCATTGGATCCTTAAATAGTATCCCCCATCACTATTCCTGTAAAAGATTTATTCATTTATTTATTATTGAGGTATAATTGACATATAACAGTTTCTGATGTACAACCCAATGATTCAATATTTGCATATGTTATAAAATGATCACCCATGTAAGTCCAGTTGGCGTCCAGTTGCAAAGATCTTTTGTTTCATGTGATGAGAACTTTTCAGTTTTTTCTTAGCAACTTTCAAATATGCAATACAATATTATTAACTATAGTCACTATGCCATACATTCCATTCCCATGACTTACTTATTTCAAAACTGGAAGTTTATATCTTTTGACCTCCTTCATCTATTTCTCCTGCCCCCATCCTCACCTCTGGCAACTGTTAATCTGTTTTCTGTATCTGTGTGCTTTTTTTGTTTGTTTGTTTTTAAATTGCACCTTAAGTGAGATTATATGTTATTTGCCTTTCTCTGTCTGACTTATTGCACTTAGCATCATATTCTCGATGTCCGTTCATCTTCTAAATGACAAGATTTCCTTCCTTTTTATGGCTGAACAATATTCCATTTTATATACATATATATACATATATATATATATATATGATCTGTCCAGAAAGTATCCTGCCATGCAATATGGAAAATAGAGACATTTATTGAAGAAGATAAAAGATACAAGAAACATTGTACAAAGGACAATGATGTTTCAGTCCCCTTCAAAGTAGGTCCTTTGGGACCTCACACACTTCTTCTAATCACCATCAGCTGCCCTGTTGTTTTTTTCCCTGAATCTCATTGACAGTCTGGCATCTCTTCCCTTTCGAAGGTGATTTTAGTTTTGGAAAAAGCCGGAAGTCTCAGGGCACTAAATCTGGGTTGTAGGGGGGCTGAGTCACCTGGGCAATTGGATGTTTTGACAAAAAGCTCTGCACGAGATATGATGCGTGAGTGGGCAAGTTGTCGTGATGAACCTGACAATGACCAGCTGCCCACAGCTGCGGCCTTCTGAATCATCTGAATAGTTTCTGTGGAGGAATGTTCAAGCTTAATGCAAAATTTGATGCAGATTCATTGCTCTACTTGCTCGGTCATTTTGAATGTAGTGGCCACACACACAGGAGACATGCTCACTCATCCACTACCCCCACTGACTAGTACAGTGAAGTTGTCATTGTTCACATGTGTGCATTCCAGTCCACTATCCTTGGCTACCAGGTCACATCGATGTCATAGAAATGGTTCTTGTTATATTAACAATGGTTGGACCTTTTCCAGATAGACTATATATGTATGTATATGTATATATTATATATATCACAGTGTCTTTATCCCTTCAGCCACTGATGGACACTTAGGTTGCTTCTATGTCTTGGCTATTGTAAGTGATGCTGCAGTGAACATGGGGGTGCACACATATTTTTAGTTAGTGTCCCCCCCCTTTGGATAAATATCCAGAAGTGGAATTACTGGATCACATGACAGTTCAATTTTTAAAAAAAAATTTATATTTATTTATTTATTTTTTAGAGAGGGGGAAAGAGGAAGAAAGAGGGAGGGAAACATCCATCTGTTGTCTCTTGCATGCCCCCAACTCTGGGGACCTGGCCCATAACCTAGGCTTGTGCCCTGACCAGGAATTAAACCAGCTACCTTTTGTTTCACAGGCTGCTGCTCAAGCCAGGGCTGATAGTTCTACTTTTAACTTTTTGAAGAACCTCTATACTGTTTTTTATAGTGGTTGCACCAATTTACATTACCACCAACAGTGCACAAGAGTTCCCTTTTTTCCACATCCTCCGCAACACTTGTTATTTCTGTTCTTTTTGGGAATAGCTATTCTAACAGGTATAAGCTGATATTTCGTTGTGGTTTTGATTTGCATTTCCCTGATGATTAGTGATGTTGAGCACCTTTTCATATACTTCTTGACCCTCTGTATGTCTTGTTTGGAAAAATGTCCATTCTGGTCCTTTGCCTATTTTAAATTGGTGCATTTTTTTTGACATTGAGTTGTATGAGTTCTTTATATATTTTGTATATTAATCATTATCACATATATGATTTGCAAATATTTCCTCCCTTTTGCTGTCACTTTTTAAAGTCTTTATGTTGCTATTTTAAATTATTGAATCGTCAAGTGACCATTTCACTTGAAATTTTCACTATCTCAGCAAACACTTATTAAGTACAGGGTGTATGATATTTCCATATGTTTTTTTTTTCCCCCCAGGCAACCTTGACAACCTGCTGGGGTAGGTATCCTGTTCCTCATTTCACAGATGAAAGGAAACCGCTTTTTGCTCAAGTTCTAACAGCAAGTCAGCGGCACCCTGCAGCGTCCATTGGAATGGGCCTGAACCAGATACCAGGAACCTGGCTTCTAATCCCAGCCCCTACTACCATCCGCTGTGTGGCCTTGGGCCCCTCAGTCCCTGCCTTCCTAACAGGCACAGACATTTCTTACTGTGAGATTGTAAGTGGAGACTATTATTTTGTGTCTCTCCCCCAGTGTCTAGAATCAGTAGGTGCTCAGTGAATATTTGAAGACTTGACTGTGGTCGAAGAAAAGTTACACCTTAAGTTTCTGACTAGTTGGGGAGCAAACGTCTGCCCGTAAGGGTAAGGCAAAAACTGGGCTCAGAGGATGTGGGGGAGGGGCAGATGGGGGTGGGGTGCGAAATAGGGAAGGTTTCCTGGAGATGGGGAATTTGGAAAGGCAGACTTGGAGGAAAAAAACACCCGCTGATGGCGGGGAGGGGTAGGTGGAGGACATTCCGATCTGGGGAAGGGTGAGGACAAAGCGGTGCTGGAGAGGAGAGTGAGGCCTGAGTTGGGGAGAAAGAGGTGCTGGCCAGGGGCGAAAGGAGGGCGCGGGCGGGCCAGCCCGAGTAGGGGCGGTGGCAGGGTGCCTGGGGAAACGTGTCCTAGGGCAGGTGGCGGTGCGAGGGGAAGAGGCAGCCAAGGGAGGGCCGGGCGATCGGCAGGAGCGGGTGCGGCAGCCTGCCGGGGAAGGGGCGTCGAGGCGCCGGACGGCCCTTGCCGGGGCCGCGAGGAGGGCGGCCGGTCGGGCCGAGCTCGCCCCCGCCCGGCCCCCTGCCCCTCCTCCCCGGGGGCGGGCGGCGGGGGGGCGTGGCCCGCCTGGCCGGGCCTCCGGGTGGCGCCGCGGACCCTGCACTCGGCCGGGCTCTGCTGGCTGCGGCGGGAGGTGGACCCGGAGTCGGCGGCGGCGGCGGCGGCGGCGGCGGTAAGTGAGCTGGACGCTGGAGCCGGACTGGGAGTGTGCGCGGACCCGGACCCGGGGGACCGAGGTGTTCCGAGGGCAGCGGGACCTGGAGAGGGTCGGGCTTTACAAGGTGCGCCGCGCTCAGCCCGCGCGTCCTCCGAGCACCGCGCAGCGCCCGCCGCCAGGCGCGCGGGTCCCCCGGCTGGAAGGTGCGCTTCTAGCGCCCGCCCGCGAGAAACGTGCGGAACATATGGTGGGGATTCCGGGGACACCCGCAGCGACTTGGGAGGAGGGTCTCGGGACCTCCCTTCCGTGAAGAGGGATTGGCAGCCTTCGCGCCTCTACCTCGACCCTCGGGCCTGAGTGACAGCTAGGAGGGAGCCACGGTTCCCTTGGAACCCAAATCAGTCCCTGACCTTTTTTAAAGTCCTTTTTTACTTAATTTCCCGGCGTGCTTATCCAGACCATTCCTTAAAAAGGAAGGGCTTGTGAGCGCCCCTCTCTCCCTGGCCCTCTCGGTCCTGGCAGGTCGACCCTGAACGCCCCCGCCTCACTTATAGCACATATCCCAGCTTTCCAAGGGACTTTTCCAAGTTGCATCACTGTTTGGCCTGTGGACAGGTGCTTGGCTGTCATGTGGGAGTTAGTTACACAGGATTTTTTAAGAACTGTATATATTTACTATGTGTTACTTCCTCACCTCAAGGGAGACGCACCTTTCCAACGCTGCTCAAACACGTTGCGACTTCTTTCGGGTTATTGGTTCTCAAACTCGGCTGCACATCTAGTGAGTTTTCAGGTACTGATGCCTAGGTCCCCCAAGAGATCCTGATTCAGGTGGGCTGGGTTGCAGCCTGGGTCATGGAATTTACTGTAAAATGCTAGGCGATTGTAATGCGCTGCTACATTTGAGCTCTGCTTTGGGACTCGCTCCCACAGGCACTTTTGAAACTACTAGAGATTAGTCCTAGTACAGAACTCATCTCAGGCACTCTCCCCGCCTTCCCCTCCACCCCCAGCCCTTCTTATTTTTCCTTCAGTCTTGCTCACTGAAAACACAACCCTGATCAGGCACCCTTGGCTCTGTAATCCACCTGAATAGCCTGATGGTTGGTGCTTTCCAACCTTAGATTGCAGATGGTGCTTTTTTCTGAAGTTCCTTTTGTTTCCACCTCTCTGTTTACAGTAAATATTGCCTGGGCACTTTCTGCCAAGGAGGAGGGAGTGTAGGAATTGAAGCCATGAAGTCCTTGCAAGGGTCAAGGTTATCACACAACGGTGTCTTATTCAGAGAAAACCAAATAATAGTTTGACTAGTCTTATTTGGAAAAGATTTCAGATTAAGAGGAGGAAAAATACTTCAGGAATCCATCGGCTTTTGGAGACCCTCTGCCACAGATAATGATTTTGGATAAATGTGGGGAATTTTCCTTTAAGAAGGCACGCTAACAAGATCTGTAAGGTTGATGTTGTGTTAATGCGTGTGCATTTGTGGTTAAGCTTTTTTCCCAAGGTGTGTTAAGCCCAGCAGATGTAACCCAGTGTACATTTCTTATTGGTACAATAGTATTTGAGTTCGGGAATTAGTGCCTTACAGTAGTATGGCACGTCTGAAGTGAGACTTTAGCCACTTGTCAAAGGACCTTAAAAAATGATAGAGAAATAAGACTAAGAAAAAATTAGACATGTATGTATATATATAATATACTGAACTTGATCATATATATTTTATTAAGAAAGTGTATTTTCAATGTCAGTGTTACTGTGACACTCTCCTGGGATCTTTGTTAACTTACTGTTGTACCCAAGTATGGTGTTTGGATTAGGTTCCCACCTGGATGTTGCTACCTGGCCACAAACCAGTGGATTTCATTTTTTCTTGGGTGCTGGCCCTCTATATTGCATTTTTCTGAGTAAGTGGGGTGACATGCTTTCAACAGAATGCCCTCCAGAGGGGGAGAAACACTTGTGTTCATTTCTAGCTCCTAACATGAGTCAAAAGAAAGTTCATTTTGAAAAATAAAAAATTATGTGGTTTTGGCCCATTTGTTTTTATTCTCTCTTTCCCGCCTTCTACTGCCATGCCCTGCTTCTGTGGCTGTATCCAATTGCTGGAATGGGGCCACTGTAGGAACCTTCTTAATTGTCTTGGCTTGAGAATGGAGGTTATATGGAGTGCATGGTCTCACAGGGTGGCCCCTGACCCGAATCCTCAACCTTTGGGGAACAAGACCATATGGAAAGTGTTTTTCTACTGTTGGATTTTTTTTTTTTTTGAACCAGGCCAACAAAATGAAGCCATGTTATTGAATAGCGTATTAACTTGCTAATCTTGTCTACATTTGGGAGTAAAATGTTTATTTGAGGATGCTCTTGAACTCCTGGTGTCTGAAAAGTTGCACCAAACAGCAATAGTTACACTGTGAATATAATAGTACATTTTGGAAAGGAAGTGAGAAAGAAAAAGTGTATGTAAATATGGACCTAAAAAGATTTATTGGAACATTTCTCACTTCAGAGTAGCAACTCTAATATTCTAAAGAGATTAGAAGAACATAAGTAAAGAAAAATAAGAAGAAAGAGTTAGTGAGGGGTTTCTTCATTTAGAGAAAGAGTATGCAGCACTCAGAAGAGTGATCTTTGATTCCCGTTAAGAAAAGACTGTCCTATTGGCTTCCCATTTTTTTTTGGTTTCTTTGTGTGTTTTTTTTTAATTTTTTTTTTATTTTTAAGTAGGGACAGTTAATTTGTTGTACCAAGAGGGTAGGGGTGGTTCAAGAAATGTAATGGCCTCACTAACTCCCCTAAAACCCATTTATTGAGGAGATGCTACTGACCTTTTTAAAACACAACTGATTTTGTGCTTTTCCTTTTTTTCCCTATTCTGACCCTGGCACTAAAGGGCATTGAAATGGCTGAGAGGTTGGCATCACAGGAGAAAAACAAAGTTCAAGGGAATTGAAAATTGAGTAATTTTCCCTGAATGATCAAGTGTTTACTTTATTCTGTCATGTGACATTGCTGTTATCAAGAAACAAGTTGTGACATGAAAACTCTGAAAATTGAAAATGGAAAAAAAAAGAAAGGGATTTGATGGAATAGCACCAAGATTGACTGGCTTTCATGTAGGGTGAGCTTGTTGGCATCCTTAGTCAAAGGCCCAGCCAACCCCACCTTTACCTTTTTCCTTCATGCACTGCCCTCTGTCCCCCAGACCGCTATCCCTGTGCGCGAGTGCTTCATTTTAAATTCACACCAAGTTTTTGTTGTTTCATTTCATTTCTTTCTTTCTTTTTAAAATATGTTTATTGCCTTGGCTGATGTGACTCAGTGGAGTGAGCGCCAGCCTGTCAGGGCACATGCCTGGGTTGTGGGCCAGGTCCCCAGTTGGAGGCAAACGGAGACCCGTACAATTGCTATTTATCTATTGTACAATTGCTGTTTCCCTCCCTTTCTTTCCCCCTCCCTTCCCCTCTCTCTAAAAAAAATTAAATAAAAAATAAAATAAAATCTTTAATACATGTTCATTGATTTTAGAGAGACGGAGGGAGGGAGAGAGAGAGAGAAACATCAGTTGGTTGCCTCCCATCACTCCCCGACCGGGACTGGGGACCTAACCCGTAACCTAGGTATGTGCTCTGATGGGAAATCAGACCCCCAGCCTTTAGATGCATGGGCCAATGTTCCAACCACCTGAGCCAATCTGTCCTGAACTGTTGTTTGATTTCTTGATTTACTCCTGTAGGAAATTTTTACAAAGTACCTCCTCTTGGCAAAACTCTCAATTCCTCCAGGACTTCTTGGTAAACAGGGGACAGTCCCTGACTTCCTGAGCTTGCAGTCGGGTGGGTGACAGTAAGTTGGGAACCCTTAGAATCAAGATGAGCACAGAGAACTGTGGGAGCAATCAGGCACTACCTGGCTAGCCTCACCCGGATAGACATCTGCTCAGTTCATTGGCACAAGAAGAGCTTCGTTCTGCTTTAAATCAGAATTGGTTTTATTCAGTCCTTACATAAAGTTTTAAATGACTGATTTCAGATACTTTTCTGACAGAGGAGAGGTGCAAGCACTGATCATGCAGAGAAGTAAGGAGTGAGGAAAGAGGAGGCCACACTCAGGCAGATGCATTTTGCTCAAGGGGTATGTACTTAGCCAGTTGTTCAGGGATGTAATACCTGGGGCTAGGGAACTGGTGGGGAATGGAGCTAGAGCTATTTTTGGCAAATCGTAACTGGCAAGGAAACTTATTAGCCATGGCTACATCTGCCACAGAGCTGGGAGGAGAGGACAGAGCACCAAGTTAAAGCAGCAGCTGTGGAATACTTTTGGAGCAGGTAGTTCAGTTCATGTCTGTGAGTCCATTGAGTGTGGGTCGCTAGTTCTCTGTCCTGCTGTAGCCACTGCACCCAGCTTTCCCCTTGGGAAGGTGATTTCCAAATAACCAATTCACAGGGCTCATAACCCCAGGGTTAGAAGAGTGTTACCTTTTGTTTATTGACTGCCTTCTAAGTGCCAGGTAGTGTGCCCAGTACCTGTCTTCCATTCTCTGAATCCCTGCATTCCCGAGAGGCGGGTGGCAGTGGTCTCACTTGACAGAGGAGGAAACTGAGGCCCAGAGAGGAGCTGGATCTTGTGGCGGCTCACAGCGCTCAGAAGTGGTGGCAGAGTTGAGGGTTAGAGTGCTTGGATCTGTCTGAATAAAAAGCTAAGTTCTTTCCCCTGCTCCTTGTTCCTTTTAAGCTGAGTGGATTAAGAAATTGAATGTTCAGTGCCTTGTTTTTCTAACATTACAGTCTCCTTAGGTCTGGGTTGACATTGTTTTCCTCTGCTAGAGGGTGTGTAATGTTAGACTGAAGGTCACTGTGGGCTTGTCACTCCAAGGGAAATTTTATGAAATCCTACTTTTCTGTTTCTTTTGTTTTTTGTTTTTTGAATAGAGAGGGTAGATTGGGCTGTTCAGATGTTCAGAAAGACTCTGAGTGGATCCCAAATCCTAGGTTAGAGAGACATTATCTCCA